TCGCCACTTTCGTGGGTTCCTGGGAGGCCCAACGGAGGTACGTCCTACGCAGATCACGTTTTGAGGCCTCCCTGTCCCCTGCGGGGCTGCGATCTGTGCAACTGTCGCCACTTTCGTGGTTTCCTGGGAGGCCCAGCGGAGGTACGTCCTACGCAGATCATTTTGAGGCCTCCCTGTCCCCTGCGGGGCTGCGATCCGCGCAACCGTCGCCACTTTCGTGGGTTCCTGGGAGGCCCAGCTGGGGTACGTCCTACGCAGATCACTTTGAGGCCTCCATGTCCCCTGCGGGGCTGCGATCTGCGCAACTGTCGCAACTGTCGTGGGTTCCTGGGAGGCCCAGCGGAGGTACGCCCTACGCAGATCACTTTGAGGCCTCCCTGTCACCTGCGGGGCTGCGATCTGCGCAACTGTCGCCACGTTCGTGGGTTCCTGGGAGGCCCAGCGGAAGTACGTTTTACGCAGACCACTTTGAGGCCTCCCTGTCCCCTGCAGGGCTGCGATCTGCGCAACTGTCGCAACTTTCGTGGGCTCCTGGGAGGCCCAGCGGAGGTACGCTTTACGCAGACCACTTTGAGGCCTCCCTGTCCCCTTGGCGCACCTGGCGCGCACCTGCAGCACCTGGCGCGCAGCTGGCGCACCTGGCGCACCTGACGCACCTGGCCCACTTGGCGCGCCTGGCGCACCTGTCGCACCTGGCGCACCTGGCGCACCTGGCGCACCTGGCGCACCTGGCGCACCTGGCGCACCTGGCGCGCACCTGGCGCGAACCTGGCGCGCTGGGCGAACCTGACGCACCTGACGCGCTGGGCGCACCTGGCGCGCACCTGGCGCACGTGGCGCGCTGGGCGCACTTGACGCACCTGGCGCGCACCTGGCGCACACCTGGCACACCTGGTGCATCTGGCGCACCTGGCGCACCTGGCGCGCTGGGCGCTCCTGGCGCACCTGCCACACCTAGCGCAGACCTGGCGCACCTGGCGCGCCTGTCGCACCTGGCGCACATGGCGCACCTGGCGCACCTGCCGCACCTGGCGCACATGGCGCACCTGGCTCATTTGGCACGCCTGACGCAACTGGCGCACCTGGCACGCCTGGCGCAACTGGCGCATCTAGCGCACCTGGCGCGCACCTGGCGCACACGTGGCGCACACGTGGCGCAACTGGCGCACCTGGCGCGCGCCTGGCGCGCACCTGGCGCACACCTGGCGCATACCTGGCGCACCGGGCGCGCTGGGAGCACCTGGCGCGCACCTGGTGCACCTGGCGCGCTGGGCGCACCTGACGCACCTGGCACACCTGGCGCACCTGGCGCACCTGGCGCGCCTGGCGCGCATGGCGCAACTGGCGCGCCGGGCGCAACTGGCGCACCTGGCGCACCTGGTGCGCCTGGCGCGCACCTGGCGCACACCTGGCGCACCTGGCGCACCTTGCGCATCTGGCGCACCTGGCGCACCTGGCACACCTGGCGCACCTGGCGCACCTGCCGCACCTGGCGCACCTGGCGCACCTGGCGCACACCTGGCGCACACCTGGCGCACCTGGCCCACTTGGCGCGCCTGGCGCACCTGGCGCACCTGGCGCGCCTGGCGCGCCTGGCGCACCTGGCGCACCTGGCGCACCTGGCGCGCCTGGCGCCACTGGCGCATCTGGCGCACCTGGCGCGCCTGGCGCGCCTGGCGCACCTGGCGTACCTGGCGCACCTGGCGCACCTGGCACACCTGGCGCGCTGGGCGCACACCTGGCGCACCTGGCACATCGGGCGCACACCTGGCGCACACCTGGCGCACACTTGGCGCACCTGGCGCGCCTGGCGCATCTGGCGCGCCTGGCGCATCTGGCGCGCCTGGCGCACGTGGCGCACCTGGCGCACGTGGCGCACCTGGCGCACCTGGCGCACCTGGCGCACCTGGCGCACCTGGCGCGCCTGGCGCGCTTGGCTCACCTGGCGCGCATGGGCTTCTGAGAGGCTCAGCGGAGGTACGTCCTACGCAGATCACCACTATACCATGGCGCCGAAATGTCCTTCGGTATTGAGTGGTCCTGAATGCAATTGCCACTTGTGTAGAAAGGGTTGGGTACGTCACATGATAAGTATTAATACGTTTAGTATGATTAGTACTCGTAATATCATCAGTAGAAGTAGTCGTAGTAGTTGACGTAGTAGCAGCAGCAGTAGTAGTAGTAGTAGTAGAAGAAGAAGAAGAAGTCGTAGTAGTAGTAGTAGTAGTAGTAGTAGTAGTAGTAGTAGTAGTAGTAGTAGTAGTAGTAGTAGTAGTAGTAGTAGTAGTAGTATAGTAGTAGTAGTAGTAGTAGTAGTAGTAGTAGTAGTAGTAGTAGTACTAGTAGTACTAGTAGTATGTAAATAATAGTAGCAGTAAGTAGCAGTAGCAGTAGCAGTAGCAGTTAGCAGTAGCAGTAGCAGTAGCAGTAGAAGTAGTAGCAGTAGCAGTAGCAGTAAGTAGTAGTAGTAGGAAGTAGTAGCAAGTAGTAGTGTAGTACTAAGTAGAAGTAGAAAGTAAAGTAGTAGTAGTAGGTGTAGTAGCAGTAGTAGTCGTAATAATAGTAGTAGTAAGTAGTAGTAGTAGGTAGTAGAGTAGTAGTAGTAGTAGTAGGTAGTAGTTAGTAGTAGTAGTAGTAGTAGTAGTAGTAGTAGTAGTAGTAGTAGTAGTAGTAGTAGTAGTAGTAGTAGTAGTAGTAGTAGTAGTAGTTGTAGTTGTAGTAGTAGTATTAGTAGTAGTAGTAGTAGTAGTAGTAGTAGTAGTAGTAGTAGTAGTAGTAGTAGTAGTAGTAGTAGTAGTAGAAGTAGTAGCAGTAGTGGTAGTAGTAGTAGTAAGAATAATAATAGTAGTAGCAGTAGCAGTAGCAGTAGCACTAGCAGTAGTAGTAGTAGGAGTAGTAGTAGAAGTAGAAGTAGAAGTAGAAGTAGAAGTAGAAGTAGTAGTAGTAGTAGTAGTAGTAGCAGTAGTAGTAGTAGCAGTAGTAGTAGTAGTAGTAGTAGTAGTAGTAGTAGTAGTACTCCTCCTAATCATCCTCTTCATTCTTCTCCACCGCCTTATCATCCTCCTCATCCTCTTCCTCCTCCTCTTCTTTGCGTTAGTACGATTATGCTTATTGGTACGGTTAGTATTAGCATTATGTGTATTGTTTTTGTTACTACTATGTTTAGTGTTACGATTATGTTCAGGATTATTATTATTATCATCCTTCATCCTCATCCTGCTACTCCTCCTCCTCCTCCGCCTCCTCCTTCTGATCCTCCTCCTCCTCCTTCCTCCTCCTCCTCCTCCGCCTCCTCCTCCTCATCCTCCTCCTGCTCCTCTTCCTCCTCCTACTCCTCCTCCTACGCCTCCTCCTCCTCCGCCTCCTCCTCCTCCTTCCTCCTTCTCCGTCCTACTCCTCCTCCTGCTCCTCCTCCTCCTCGTCCTGCAAGATCGACCCCCGCTCCTGGGCGGCCCAGCGCGCCGTGGCCGGGGGGGCGCCGTGGCTGGGGGGGGGGGGGCCAGCGGGGGCGCCAGCAGCCGAGGCAGCGTCTGCAGCAGCGCCCGGTTCCAGGCGTTATCGGCGAAGTCCTGGCCCCGCCCACCGGGGCGCCCGCGCGCGCGCCACGGCACACTGCGCCGAGGCTGGCCGTCGCGACCATCGGCAAGGCTCGTGTGGGGAAGAAGGACCAGCATGCCCTGAGATCCTGAAGGGAAACTGGGACAAACAAATAAATACACACAAATAAAAAGATTCTCCATATTTTCCTATATTTTCTGAGTTTTTGTCTTCCCCCCCACTTCCCATATTTCCCCATATTTTCCTATATTTTCCTGGGAGTCGACATGTAATTGTGTCTGTGTGTTTCTTCCCCTCCTGAGGGAAGAAGGACCAGCATGCCCTGAGATCCACAGAACTGGATCCAGACGGAGGTGTTTCGCCGACTTGGGACTCCAGAAGCCCTCGCTGGGCCCGGGGACCTTCCAAAAAACGGCCCGGGATGCAAAGCGGGTCACCAGGAAGGGGTCGAGACTTCCGGGGGCCCTGTATCGGAAAAAATACGGCATCAAATCTCAGGGTAGGCCCTCCTACGCATGATCTTCTTCGACGAGTTTCGGGCCCGAATCCGCATCGCAGCGGTCTTCGAGGTGGGCATCATAGCCGCTTCACCACGGCCAATCAATTCATCATGTTTGCTTGATGCCACGAAGTGCGTAGCATGCTCCCCCTTCGCGTCGTGAAACGAAGAAGAAACACGGCAGGAAGTTCCTTGCAATGCTTTTGGCCTCTGTGGGCCTTCGCTGGGCCCTGGGACCGTCAAAAAACCACACAGGATGACGAAGCGGTCCTGGGGTAGGGGGCCAGCCCTCCGAGTTCCACGCTGGACCCAGACACTCTTCCGTCGGCGGCGAGGCAGCGCTGGCTGCACCACAACGAGGGAGCTGCCCGAGGGCACCGAAAAAAGCTCACTGGCCAGCGTGTGGAAGAGCGGGAGACGGAGGGGGGGCGGGCGGCCGGACGTGGAGCCCGGACGCTCAGCGTCGCACGTTTCCACAGCGTGGCTCCCCAGAGGCCTGAGCCCCTGCCTGGGGGCTGGTTCTCTAGAACGACACGAAGATCGGGACAAAATCGGATCGGGATAACTCGAAATCTCTGAGAATCGGCGGGTTTGGAGGATGTATTGGGCGCCGCGGCCGCTCCAGAGCGTTCGGAACGCTCTGAGAGCGCTCCGGAACGCTCTGAAGCGATTTATCCCGATCCTAGCCCTCTTTTACTCTCCACCCCGCGTCGTCCTGTGGGCTCCGGGCGGGGTGAGTAAGACTCTGGGCCTCCACCAAGGCCTCCCGCGCGGTGACAACAACAACAAAAAAAAACGGTGGGAGCCCGTCGTCATTGCTGGCCTCCCAGGGCCCGGTGAGGGCCCCGGGGGCCGACAACGCATAAATAAAAAACAAAAATGCGAGATAAGAAGGGGGAAACAAGATGTATTAAAAAGAAAAATGAAAGGGGGAAACAAAAAGAAAGGAAAAGGAAGGAAGAAACAAAACAAGTATAAAGAAAAGGAAAAGGAAAAAGACAAGGAAAAGGAAGAAGAAGAAAACAAAAATCAGTCGAGTTGTTATGTTTTTCTCGCGACGCGCGGAGGGCGGGGCCCATCCCTGGCGCACGCGCGCACGCGCGCGCGCGGCCGCAGCCCTGCGCCGAGGACGCCGGCGGGGACGAAGACAGATGCGGGTCGAGATTCGGGGGCGGCCAAGCGGGGGGCGTCCAAGAGGGGGGGCACAAATCATGGCCGGCGGTCCGTGCGCGGCCCAGGGGGGGGCACCAGGGACGTATTGAAATGAGAATGGGCGCCATGAAATCCGGGGGGATATCATGCCCCCCGCCACGATATCCACCCCCCTAGTCATCACCCCCCTCTTGGCCGCCCCCGAGAGATGGCCCAGGAGTCTGTCAGAGCGCGGCCGGGCGAGCGGCGATGCTGCTTACAACGGTGAATTTCGGGAACCAGAGCGTAGGAAATCACGAGCCACACTCTCCTACATGTCCAGTCTGCGAGTGGATCGAGCGAACACGACACAGCGAATTGCAGGAAAGCGCGAGCCACGCGTTCCCGCACTACCGAAACCTACATCGCCGTTATCTACATCGCCCTTAGCCCATCCACGGTCAGAGCCGACCGCGCGAGGGTCAAGAACGGGCACTGCGCGAGATTCGGCACGGCGACCTTGAGCGGCGGCTGGCGCGGGCCGCCAGCGCGGCACGCCACAGTGGAGACGAGGGCGCTTGCGCGCGAACTTGCGCGGGCAGCTTGCGCGCCAATTTCGGCGCCGACGACCCCGTTTCCTAGCGTCGTACTGCGCCCCGCCGCCGCCGGGCCCCGGCGCAGCAGCCGCCGCCTGCACCGCCGGCGGGGCCGGCCGCACCAGTCGCTCCGGGTGTGACCCGTCCCCCTCAGCGGCCCTCGCTCCCTGTCTCCTCCTTCGGCCGCCCTGCCTCCCTCCCTCCACGATTCTTTTCTTTCAACGGCGTCTCCGCTTTGACTGCTCTTCCGCCAGCGCAGTTACCCTGCCTAGCCGCCGACGTAAACAAGGCTTCTTGGCGTCGCTGGATCGGCTCGGAGGTCCTGTTGCGCGCTGCAGGGGGAGAAGCAGAGAACCGCCGCCGCCCAGAGCCCAGGGGCACGACGCCCAAGCACCACCCGGTAGCGAGCGCGGCGCTCCAGCGTGCCGCCGCCCAGGGGACGGATCCCCCCCAAAAAAGGGGCTCTTGGCGGCGGTGGCCCTCGCAGGCGGCGGCATCCGCACCCTACCGCGAAGACGCATGAGGAGGACTGGTAAGGGCGCAGGACCTTTGGAGGCCAAAGTTGGCATGGAATTGTTGGGCGGCGGGCGACCAAAACCCCAGAGACGCAAGGGTATCCTAGCCCGCAAGTGGCCGCAGAGACAAGGACACAGGGGTACCCTGAACAAGGCGCGCGTCCGCCACGCGTTCAACGAAGGTCGGCCCCACACCCCCGCCGCCCATCGAGTTGATTCAATCGTTGATCGGCGCGGGCAGGGCTCGAACTTTGCCGCCGACCCTGCGGGCCCCAAGTCGATTCAGATAGGCCCCAAAACGCCTTCCGATGGCGTCTTGGAGGCCAGAGCGCCCTAAGACGACCAAAGAGGCTCCCGAGAAGCCCCGAAAGACTCCCAAGAGGCCCAAGGAAGCCTCCAAGAGGCCTCCAAGAGGCCCCCAGGAAGCTCCCAGGAGGCTCCAAGAATGACCCAAGAAGCTCCCAAGAGGTCTCCTCATCCTTCACCTAATCCTCACTTCTCCTCCTCCTCCTCCTCCTCCTCCTCCTCCTCCTCCTCCTCCTCCTCCTCCTCCTTCCCCACGCGTTCCCGAGAGGGCTTCCACACTGGCTGGGGGGACATGCACTGTCCAATGGCTTGGCCAAACTTTGCCCAAGCGTTCGGACACATGGGCGCATCCTAAAAAGCAGGGGCGAGCAC